TAGACTAAATGAATGTATGAGCCAATTTCAAGAACTCACGAATAAAACTTCTATATTTTTTTTGTTATGGAAATTATCATCAGATAGCTTAGTCAAATCTTAATAGAAACCGAAACTCTTTGAGGGTTTTTATTAGAACACTATTTAGTAGTCTTAAGCAAAACAATCCCTGAAATCAAAAGGGAACAGACGAAAAAGTTTCTTCGCCAGTTAAAATATTCTAGAAAAGAAATAATACAATGTGATATTGTTGATGTAGCTTTTTTTGAGTTGAAAAAGAAGACGTACATTGGTCTGCGAGAAATGATAAAAATCTAATTAAATATCAGTCGATTTTACCGAATATCATGATATTGAATCGATGTATAGCAGTCAGTAGACAAATCTAAGCTCAGTGAAGATCAATATCATCTGCATTGAAATAGAGATTATCTAAAAATTTCAAAGATCATGAAGAAGAGGATTTTCACTTTGGTTTATTGTTTCTATTACGTTTATAGATCTTTCTTTAGAAAATTTCTAAACAGAAATCAATATTTAATTGTTTTATAAGATTTTGAAAATTCGAACTTAATTAATATATTATTTATATTCATAATCGAGTTTACTTCATTTTGTTAAATATTGAGTATAGTATAACAATAGTTGATGATATTGATTAAGAAGAACAATAAGTAGTTGCAATATTGATTGTCGTGATTCAGTTGCATATTTTATTGCTAATTTAAAAAATATTGAATTTCTTAATTGACATATATAAAATGCACGATCTTCTCGATAAAGTTTATATGATAATTTTAAAAAGAAATTTGATTTTTCAGTTGTTTTTTTTTTTTGCTTCTCAATTTATATCATGCATTTGAATTGAATATTACCATTCACTCTATCATATAATCTTGTTTATAAGAATTTTATTTTCATTATTTTAAATTAAACGAAATAAGATTTGTAAAAAATTAAATTCTATATGTTCTAACAGAAAATTTTGTTTAGTATTTCTCCATTCTACTATTTATGAAAGTAAAGTAGATGATTAATGCCTGATTGGTTATATGCCAGATCAAAGAGTATGGACCAATTTCGGAAGGAAATGATGATAACTAGCTGAGTTATAAATCAATTGCTATAAGTTCAAATATTTTACGGTAGAGAAACTTGTTTAGTTTCTACGCGCTTCTGTTTATTTACTAATACAACATCTTCAGAAAAAAAAACAGTTGATCTCTTGGTAAAATAGGGTAAGAGTTTTTGTTCATGATTGTTATCTGGTTTTTATTGCTTTCTCTTGATTATTTACTTATTAAAAAAGCAGAAAATATAGTCTAAAGATAGAGAGTTAAAATGATACATGATATAAACATTATGTATACAGAAAACAAGAAAGCGAAAAAAAAATAAACATGGATAAATTTAGTTAATTATTTCTTCATCATATACACGAGTTTCTTTGTACGGAGAAGTATCAGCAACACAAGCAACCATAGCAGCACCTTTACCACTACCATCATCAGATAAAGTTAATGTAAATTGAAAATCTTTATTAACCAATGTTTCTATACAATCTTCTATATTATCTTTAAAATGTGGATGATATCGATAAAGTGATCCATCAATACCAATAGTAATATGAGATTTTCCAATTCGATTAATCAATAGAGCTAAACCAGCAGCAGCTAATCTAGCAGCTCGTTTTGAAACTTGTCGACATATATATTGAACGATAGCACAATCATCATATGTAGGATTTTCTATACCAATATTTTCAAGTACTCGACGTGTATTTGAAAATTGAATACCTTCATCGGTTTCAACTGTTGAAACAAATTTTGTATGAAAACCTCCATAATTATAAAGTGGTGTTGCATAATCTCTATATGTATTACGATGACCAAGAAAAATTAATTCCTGTTGAATTAAATCCAGTATTATTAAACGAACAATTTCACCCATATACATTCCTGAAATCAGTTTTTCAAAAATTTGTTTACCAGGATTAATTGATGAAATATCAACTTCTTCATCATATTTTGTTCGGATAAAATTTAAACAACCATTATCACCAAAAGCACCCCATTCTGTATTAATAATAACTTGTTTTGGTTCATTATAATTACCATTCCATGTACCAACTTTATCTAAATTTTCAATATAACATGCATTTGTTCCAGTTCCTAATATGAGACCAATGGCTGTTGATGGATCTTTATAAGCACAAGACATTAATGTTCCAACTGTATCATTTACGAGAGCTACACATTTTGCATTTATTTGTTTTTCATTAATAGCATCCTGTAGAAGTTTTACAACATCTTCATTAACAACACCAGAACAATTAAAACCTTTTGTCCATGTTGTTAATCGTGCTGATGCAAGACCTTCTTGTTGACAAGGAAATGAAAATGTAAAACCTAATGGATAACATATTCCAGTATTTAATAAATGTTCTTTTTCCATAAATTCATGTAAACATTCAGCTAAATGATGAAATAAATATTTTCCATCACCAATCATAATTGATTGTGGAATAATAAAAATTTTAGACGTTAAATCTATTGTTGAATCTCCATGTAAATCAATTAGAAGTACACGAAAATTTGTTCCGCCTAAATCAAGTGCAAGTACTTGACCAGTTTCTCTTCCATTTGGAATATTTTGTACATATGATGGAAACATTTTTACTGTTGCATGTTGATGTCTTGATAGTGAAAGACCAGCATTCATTTCTTCTTCTAACATCTGCATTATATCTATGAGTTGATCATCACTTATTTTTAATGAATCTACAACTTTCTTGATTTGTTCATTCAATTCTGGATTTAGATGTTTTCTAGTTTGGTACTTTTCTGGTGCACCTACACGATATCCAGCATAAGCAGCAGCTCCAAGAATACATGTTGTTGCCAGTCCATATGCAGCTTTCGATATCATAGATGGAATTAAATCATCTTGGAATATTTGAAGAAAATTGAATGACATGGTTTCTGGATTGATTGAAAGAATAAAATAAAATTCTTTTTTTTTTATTGAGATATACAAGTCTGTCTAGTTATTTTAATGATGGAAAGAAATAAACGAATGAAATATATACTGCAACTCCGGATGGGATGATACCCACTATTTGTCGCATGAAATACTTTTTCTTCCCATTACATTACATCCGGAAACCCTAATATATACTGTTTATATTTTTATCGAACCAGAGACGAAAATAAATGAATCAAAGAAGGCAACTTCCTTGCTGATGAAATCCTGAGAAATGATCCAATGATTCATCTCGTCATAGCAAATCGAATAGAACAACGAAAGAGGACGGGTGTGTTTCAACACAGAGACTATCTGTGTCATCATGACATAGTTTTTTTTTCTAGTATTGATATATGAAAAAAGCCGCATACGAAACAGAAAAGAAAGAAAAAATAAGTAATCATGGAAAAAAAATTTTTGTTTCTCTTTAGGTTATTCATTTTAAGAAAAAAGAGAATCATATTTATACTACATTACCAAATTTCTTTTTAGATTGTAATATTAAGACTTTTTCTAGTTTTTTTTTGCTAACGAACATTTGTTGTGATGACTCACAGTTACAGAAGTTTATAACAGATCGAACAATAGCAATTGTTAACATACCTATTATTTTGTCCCATATTTAATGGAATAACTCGGCAAATTTTCCCATTCTTTTGAAGTATGAAAAAATCTCAATTCGATTTGATTCGATTCGCACTGCAAAAATATTTACTTAGATTTTCGTGTATGTTTATAATAAATCTATCATTTTAGAGAAATTCGAAAATTCTAAAGTGCTATTAGAACGAATCCTTTTCATCCGAATCTCAATAATCGAAATATAAACTGTTTATAAAAGGATTAGAGATGATGAATGATTTCGATGTTTCAAGTCAGAAATGTTTGACTATACGATCAGTCACAATCGATATATCAGAACAACTGTGTGGAAAGATTTCGAAGTATTCGAATAATTCGTTCGAGTTTTCTAGGTTCACCAGCGTGATTGATTCATGACATAAATCGATATTTGTTCGATCTCGATGAACATTCATCTTAAGAGAAATTTTTGTTCGAATTTATCGATAGTATTTCATTCTTTAATATTACGATTTTGACGAAAAAATCTGAAAGATTTCTCTTCGCACTATTGTCATGTTTGATTCCAAATAAAATTTTTTTCGAAATAATATGATATCATTTTTACATTGAAGAATATCGTGTTTAATACAATGACAAATTGATTCTATTCGCGAAAAGATTTCTTTCACTTTAGTTCATCGTCTCGTCAGTAGTCTATTTGAATCACATGAGAACAACTTTTTTGATGAGATGCTGTTGAAATACTGAAGTTTATTCAGTTGTGAAATCGCTTAATCAATGAAGAATTCATTTTTTTTTCTTATCATCAATTTTTTCGAATGATATGATATTGCAACGAATATTTATCTAGACAATAGTCTAAATTAAAATTTTCAATAGTTAAAGTTAAGAAAATTCCCAAGATTGGATTGAAAATGAATTGAATAACTCACATCTCAGCTTGAATTTGAAATAAGATGTACAGAATAATCAATTTTCATTCTATTATTCTTTCACAATTAATACCAACACCCACAATCTGATTGTATGATGAAGAAATGCGCGGATTTCTTGTTCATATCAATTGGAAAAAGATATATTTTTATTTAAAAAAAAAAACAATGGAAAATGTTTTAGTTATATCAGTTGGATTTTTGCGAACGAGATGACATGGAGGATGTCGGCTGAGAAGAATACATATTCATTGCAATTCCATAATCTTCACTCTGCATTGCTATTGGTATACCGCAATGATCATATTCTATTGAATAAAAACTAGTTGGACCGTAAGACATATGATAGACCTAAGAGAGCAAATATTAAATAATTGAGTGAATTTATAGTATAGTATAATCCACAAGTTTTTATTTAGCAAAAAATACAATCGAAATTGAACCTTACATTTCTCACTTTTAAAAACTTACTCCAGCTGGAAACATAGTTGTACCATATCCAGCATACTGTGTATGAGTTAGAATCAAATGAGTCATGTATTTTTCATATGTCTAAACGAGAATAGATTATATAAATATGAATAATCAAAACAAAAATTTTGTTTTTATATTACTTCACTAGTAATTTCTGTTATCGTTTTGTAAGTATTGTTGTATGATACTTCATCATCATTACTACGATGTAAATGTTTTCGATTTGAACTATTTTTGCGTCCATGATCTGAATGTGATGATCCTAAGGAATGATTATAAAAGTTGAAATTCACATAAAAATTAATTGAAAGAGATAAGTTCGGTTATTCTATTGAAGATTACATTAAAATTTTTAGAATAACATCAAGAACTGATCAATAGGAATTCCTATGCCATTTTCTCATAGTTAGATTATCTCCAAAATGAAACTAAGTTTTGTTGTACCTGCATCTACAACCATAAAAATCAATCATAATTTCGTAAAAGGCTAAAGTAGAAATGTATTTGCGAACTTTTTAAACAGAATATATTGAAATATGACTGAATTTCAAGTCTCATTAAGTGGCAAAACAGAATTTAACATTTGTTTTTTTTTCTATTCTAATACAAAATGACTAGAAAATAAAACATACTTGATCGTCGTCGTTTTTGCCGTAAATCTTGATTTTCACGTTCTCAACTTCTTGATTTTTGATGTCTAAATTAAGATTAACAAAATATGACAACTAAATCTCTTTTGATTATATTCATTATAATTTATTTCGTATACATATATATAAGAAAACTTATTTCCTTTTCAATATTCATCATCTATCTAATACTCAAGATAAAAAATGAATCGATTTAGTTAATAAAATGGTTTGGGAGGAAGCGATAGTGTTTGTTCTTATTTTTTTTCTTACAAAAAATAGTAAAATATATATCGGGTGAATTCTAATGATGACAACAGTTAGTATTTTTCAAGTATCTTAGCATAGATATATTGTATAATCTTTATTTCTATTTTTAAAGGATACACTATCAAATTCTTCATAAGAATGAAAATGAGAAATTCTATTGAGTTAGTTCGATGATCTTTTTTATAAGACTAAAACTTATGCACTGTATGATAATGAAATGTCCTAACGTTCGAAGAGAAACAAATATGAACATCAGATCGGTTATTTGACGATCAAAACTTATGTTTGCAACGTTATCAAATCTTTTCTCTAAGAAATTCGGTTGTTGTTGATAACATAACAGTTATCATCGTTTTCATGAACTTCATGTTATTTTAGTTCAATTGTTTTTTTCTTTTACAAAACAAATGATAAAATCATTAAAACTTTTAATTGAAACAAGTAGAAGACTTTTTGATTATAAAAAATCATTACGCTAACTCAGTAGGATTTCTCATTTTCATTCTTGTGGAAAATTTTACAGCACATCCTTTAAAAACAGGAATTAAGATTATACAATATATCTATGTTGAAATACTTGAAAAATAATAACCGTAGCAATTATTGTGCCTTACCCGGTACATATATATATATATCTATACAATAGCCTGCTAAACAAACAGTTCTTTTTATAATAGTCATAAGAGTTCTTCGATGAATACGTGTGTAAAATGTCTTGCTTTCATATTTATTTATTTCAAAGTTCACAAAAGAAAGCCAGCTTCATATTGTATATACACATCGTAATATGTGCATGTTAGATATATATCTAATCAATGATGTTTGGAAAAACGAAAGAATACCTCTATCAGGCAACATCCTTGTTAAAAGTTCTATACTGAATAAGATTAGTAGAGTATATGATAGTCCAATATGTAAGACGAATAATTATTAAATAAAGAGTGATGGTTGACCTATGACGATTATGATTTGAAGGTGATCGATGACGATAACGATTCGATGAATGACGAGATGAAAAATCTGATGACATTGGTCGATGTCTATGATTTGGTAATGAACGATGATTACGATCTTTTAATGTTTGCCCTTTAATTATTAATAATGATGCCGGCGAGGTTTCCAATGGTGATGATGAAGAAACATTTATCGGAAATGGTAAGTGTGACTGAGATCGAGATGAATTATGTTTTTTGTTGTTTTTAACTTCTGTTGTTACTGATATTATGTCGATTGTTGGATCTGATGGAAATAAACGACATAAAGCTTCAGCACAACGTGGTTCAATTTCCTTGAAATATAACAACTGTCATATAAAAACAAATCTTCGTATATGTAATTCTACTACCTGACCATCACGTCTTATGCTAATCGGCTTGTTCTCATTCCATGAATTTAACAAATGTAATGTTTTACAAAATGGTAAACTTTGACTAAAAATAAAATATTCATTGAATGAAATGGTAAATAGATTAGATATTTTCAAATAAAAAATGACAGATAAATACATACCAAGTCTCCCAACGAATATAAATATCATCTGAAAAATTACGATTACTTTTGCCGGGTGGTAAAATCAAATCTATAGGTTGACTATCATGACGAGCTTCACATGATATAAAAGCAAAACCTTGAAAAGCTTTACTGCTGTTTACGGAAAAAATTAAAATGACATATTGATGATCCTAAATATGTGAAATATATGTGTTTTTTTTTCTTTTTTCTTGAAAAATATTTACTCGAAAAGCTTGGTTTAATTTATCTTCATTATGTGATGGTGTTGACCATACACCCTTAAAAATCAAAATAGTATCAAATATGCATAAAAGTAACTTTACTTTAGCTTTAGCCAATGAAATATTTCCTTCATTCCAACTTTTCATTAAAAAATAAGCCACATCGCTGAATATACGTCGAGGTGTAGCAGTTTTTGTGGAATCTAAGATAATTATAAATGAGTTCCTGTTGCCAATTATCGGACGTGTATCAGAAGTTAATAGAAACTCGTCTCACTTTCACACTATGGCTACTAAATCTAGAAGTTAGTCATAAATTTTTAACAAATTTCACTGAACCTATTATATCATTCAATTTATCATGAAGAATTCTATCAACAATCTGAGAGAATTAGTGCGCTTGTTATTGGAGTGTGGGTAACAGATATGGATGAAAAGAAGACTTACACGTTCACCAACCCATCCTCAATGTATAATTGCAGACAAGGTTTATTCTGGTTACAGGCTAAGTAAAGCCATCGACACATTAGAAGACCCGGGATCTTCTATTCTATCTATCGTTCATAAGTTAAAAGGGGGGTCTTCTAGTGCGTCCCTAAAAAAGATCATATTTTTTGGCAGTCCCACCAACAAATCCTAGTTTCACTTGATTTTTGTCCCATATATCGTGAGTAAATGAGTTTGCTTTACTTACTTCATGTGTGTAGAATATAAAAGAGACAGATACTATCCTGTGCAATAGGGCAGACCATTGTTAATAAGAAGTGTTCTTAGAACTATACTCAAGGCTAAGATCTATCACTGGCAACATTTTATCTTTGCAATAACTAAATAAATAAAAAAAAATTAATTTTTTTATAATCAAACTCATTTAATTCAGTTGCTTATGTGGAGATTTGATGAGCATAGATGTAATTCGTTCACAGTGAATTCTGCCAGTAGCATAGTTAGTAGTCTCAAGCTAACTTCAATGAATAAGGTTATCTTGTGAAGAATCCATTTATAGAAAATCAGCAGTTGAATACATACTCTGTATTTTCTTTTGTATCTATTTCGAAAAATGCCTTTGGATCTTATTGAGAAAAAAATGGGTTCTCGAACTCAAAAGAAGTTCTCACATATAAAACCACGACGTATATACATGAAGTTGTTTTCTTCAATTATGAAAGACTCTTTTGTGGCACAAACGTTTCTGATTTTCTAGAAGAAAGTCGAAGATGAAGAGATCTTTTAATTAATACACAGCAGCATTTTACCTAATCTGTTGTTATTGTACAAAGATCTCTTGAGGGTGTTACACGCGCGAATATGAACTGTGTTCATTAGATCCTATGACCATGGAATAGTGTTTTTCGTGTATAGAACCTGTAGAATGTTTTCAGAGTAAGCTGCAAAGAAGTACTAAGATGACTCCACGAAATGTTTTCAACAAAGAAACCCAATCTTTAATAGACAGATGTTTCCTATTAACCGCTTCTCAACATTTGACTCGCTCAGATTTGACACTTCGTTGATATGGACGGAAGCAAAATATTGTTCGTACTGAATTTAGACATAATTATGGACTTGAATACTAAAAAAGTCAATAGTCCCCAGAAACTATTTCAAAATATCGGTTTTTTGAGGGGATCTTCTAATGTGTCGAGGGCTTTAGTTTTTCAATGAAGTTCGTATAGTGATGATCACTAAAAAACGCTGAAATCAAAATGCAACTGACAGTTTTGACTAGAAAGATAACGAGAAAGCTACTGCAAACTTATGTACCTATGATATGATATCCCGAACTTACCTGAAGCTTGAGTGAAATTGGAGACGATATTCCCATGTGGCGTTTGTTCAACATCCGACATTTTCTGAGCCTGTTGAAATTTTGATGCAGCTGATTTGTTTCTGATAATACGGGTATATTTAGAGAAAGACTTGCAAATTTGAGTGGCGTTGACGACGGATTATGTCCATCAAAAAGTGATGGTGACGGTGCTGCTGCTGCTAATTGTCCAAATGGCACCATCAACAACGAATTCGAAACCAATCATAGAACCTATAGTTCGACGTAGTCATTTTGCCCTAACAACCTTATTTTGCATTTTCTTCAAGTCAATGGGTCAACGTGGGCTATTTGCTAAAAAAAATAAGCTGTCATGACGAATCATGAGAGGTATATGAATGCAGAAGATTTTACAAGTGTCAACGTATCATACAAAGATAATGGGAACGTTAGGCGCTAATATATTCTGATCGCGATAGAAATTCGAATATTTTTTGCTTTCAACTCGAAATCCAATTGGATATATTATTACAAGAAGTTTATGATTATTCATCACTGATATAGATTCTTTATCTTTACTATGTTCATCTGTTACAGTGATAAAAGACAATATGCATTATTCTATATTTCGTTTTTATTTCAAAACAATATTTACAACCAAATATCAAGCGAATGTGGCTTATGTCTATACTCTAATGAAGCAATCAAATCTGGCCGTAGGAATAACGATCTGATGTACCATTCTGGAGCTAATTTCGATAAACTATAGATACTATCTTGAGATACTGCAGCATGTTCATAATATAAAGTGAAATGAATAAGTGCTGAAAAATGATCTAAGATCTTTCCAATTTGATCGACTCAATGGTCAATAATAAGCCATGAACTTGAATGTCCATCAACATTTAATGTGAATTGTTTCACTATGAGTGATGACAATGATGAATAAGTAAAAAGCGTATCAACAATTTCAACGAGATCATCAAATGAACAATTCGAATTTTTTGCAGTAAAATAAAGTATTTCGAGTTGAGACATAAGTAAAATACAAAGTTGAGCAGTTGATGAAAGAATACGACCTATATCTAGATTTGCATCTATATAAAGTTTCACGAAAATGTGGTGAACGTTGAGCAATATGAAGTAAATGTGAAATATTTTCACCAAGCATATTACTATATTATAACGAAAATATATTTAATAAATCTTTATTTTATGTGATCATGTTAACTTACGTGTCGTCTGGATAATCATCTTTAACGATTATTTTTCTTAGACAATGCCAACAAGGAACTGTTTGAATATCTTTGAGTAGTTCCTATTCGACATAATCCATGTCAATAATTTCCATCTGAAAGTCGAAACAAATATTCTTTTTTTTTTGTAAGCCAATTCTTTTTGGTTTTATCTTACCTCTACAACATATTCGTTGACTGGTTCATCTTAAATAGCTTCGAGGCTAAGATTTTTGTTGTTGCTATATTTATTATTTGGTGTTAAATAGTTAAGATTAATACTTCTATAATAGATTGATGAATCATTACCCATGTCTTGGTATATATTCGATAACCACAATCTTTTGAATTTCTTATGCACCACGTACGGAATCTACAGACAACTTCAGTTGAAATGTAAATTCGTTTTATTTATTTAATGTCGGTCATTGTTTTAATGCAGTTACTCGTGGAAAACTACTATTCAGAGTAAATCTTGTATGTTCAGATAACTTGAACTGTTCGAGTGGACTGTGATGTTGAAGATCTTAAAAATAAGCTAGAGCTCAAGAAAGGCCAACCATTATTTTAATACTAATGTGACGTAGTTTGGGTACTGAAGTTGATTTTAATGGTGTTGAACATGGTGGTTCGATTACTACACCTTCGTGTGTACTAAAAAATAATGAAAATATATATTTGTTTAGAATATTTGTCACTTACCACTGAAGAGAAGCACGCAAAGGACACAGTTGAAACAAATGACCGTCGTTCAGCATCAGGACAAACAACCCCCTTGAATATTCATTAATCGTAAATGTATGCAAGTTTTGATGAATAACCATAGAAGGACAGTATCGGTTGAAATTGAAAAAATAGTTGTTGTTCGTATGAGTGTTCATACGTAAGCAGAGCGAGTGTAATTCAGATAGACCCTCAAACACTGTAATAATTACATTGAAATCGAAGATGTTATATTCAAAACGATGATATGGACCAAAACCTATATAGATCGAGAGTAAATGAGCAGTAGATAAAAGCGAATTATCATCCAATAACAATTCTAAGTGCATGACATGGAATATCTTCGATGGTAACTGCTTTCAGTGCAGGCCAATTGTGTGCTTCGAGAGGTACTACAGAAAGAAATAAGTCGAATGCATGTGGAGTACGTCGTTCCGATAGATTAAGATAAACAATTTGTGAAATGTGATTCGGTCCGATTGAAGTTCATGTGTCGATTATTAGGCAAGCAAAGTGGTTGTTGAGTAAGTATGGCCGTATATCGTTGATTAAGATTGTTGAAAGCTAAGAGTAGATCATGACGAGTCAAATATTCAAAAATAAGATGAAAAAGTTCTACGGATAAATGTTCAAACAATATTAGTTATTTATTCATATTTAATGTAAAAGAACTGTATCTAATACGACTATGTCATCAAGAATAGATAAAATCGTTCAAATCATTCGAAAGAAAGAGAAATGAATATGCCGTTGGGTGTGGGTTTGGGTGTTGATTAGCAGAACAGCGACACCCACACCTACACTCATTCAATTACATCCTTATGGTTGTTTATAGGCAACGATTGAAGATGACCAAATAACTCGAAATCCATTATGCCAATATTTTAAATAATCTCAAGAAATGTTCGGTATTATTTCATCTGTAATCAATGAATATAATAAATGCATTTTTAGTGTTCTTTGAAGTTTATCAATCAAATTGAAAAGGACTTATTCAATCGAAAAATTTAGTCAAACTCATTATTGATTTGCTGTTTATACTGATGTTTATATGAAACAGTACAATTATGAAAATATTGTATTTATTGGTGACGCAGCACATGGAATGAATCCTTAATTAGATCAAGATGTTAATATGGTATTTTTGGATAGTTATTTTTGGACAAAGTTTTCATCGAAAATAGCAATAATATTAAATTAGCTTTGGAAAATTATACGAAATTACGAAGAAAACATTTGAGATTCTATAGTCAAGCAAGTAAATTTTTGACACCATTGTATCAAAGTGATCGAGTATTATATGAACGATTTCGAGATTTGCTTTTTACTGTTTCGTAGTCAATGAAATTTAAAAAAAAAATATCAAGTCAAACTTTATGTAGAAAAAAGAACTAGTTGGATAAGAAATCAAGGAATTGAATATTAAAGATAAATGATTTTACCAATATATAAGTCCATCTGTTCGATTTTTGCAATTATGAACATGACCTATATCAACTCAGCAATACAAGTTTTCTAGTATTAATCTAACTTTGTAATCTCTTGATACATTTTTTACACCCACGACGAACGAGAATGTCGCAAATACTGAAAAAGCCACTTGCAATTCGTTGAAAACATCTGCTCAAAACAAAGAACTGTTTTTACAATTTTTTTGATCCCAATCTATTTTCAAAACACAATCACTGATAAAAATATTGTTCAAATATTTTGACGTGTGTAGCTAAAACGATGGTAAGTACAAGAGCTTGATTAGTGTTGCATTTAAAATAAACATATGAAATTATTCTATTCAATCTTCTCTGACGACATCCCGCTTCTGAGAAAGCCTTGTTATTCTTGTATCTTTTGTCTCTAGTCCACATGGAAAGTTTTTAGCACGAGTCTTAAATACAATTACATAAAGTATCACTAAATTCTGCATGCAATCCATATTGTTCTACTTTGGTATCAAATGGTGGTTCTATGGACATAACCCATTTCAATATTTGATCATTGCTTTTAATACAAAATTCATCTCGTAATGGTTGTCTCGGATGACGATAATATATTGTATCAAAATTCTGATGCCATGCATCGGTATTTGACACATTTGCTAATTCATCATTTTCTATTTCAAGTACACGACCCATACGAATCTCAGCACATATGACCGCACCATCTCGTCTTGCTTTAAACTGTGTATGAAAACTAGAGCGAGCAAAATAAATACCAAAACCTAACATTTGTCGTCCAGCTCTGCTTATACGAAAATCCGTGTAAGCAATATTAACAGCTGCTTGAGCATCTGTACGATGAAAACCAATGTACGTAGTCGTCAATGGATCTTTGTTTGGAACATCAGACCAACGTGGTGTGGGTGTATGTGTATTATAATGAAATATCATTATGTGTTCCAATGTTCGATTGAAACAAAATTGTTGTAATTCACATGGTTCATTCCATAATTGAATTTCATTTCGATATGCACCCATTAAATGATATGGGATAAAGCGTCGATGTTTCTCTAAATAACGACGACGAAATGAATTTTGATCACATGATGGAATATAATGCCACCAAACACGATAATGGTAATAGTCCAATAATAAAGTCAGTAGTGATGATGGTAATGTAATGCCACAAATCCATGATAGTTTTTGTGTTCGACTAAAAACCTCATGACTCGTATGTGTTGATGCTGTTGCATATAAAATAATCGCTACGAACCGTAAAGCAATACTAATAGTGATAAATAGAAAACGTACAAGAAAACGCCATTTGGGTCGTGCTATATAACATGGACAATTACAATTGAATAGAAGAAAGCGTTGAATGGGTCTATTGGTTATTAGATGTCGTAAATGAAAATTCGTACGTGGTCGATGATGATGTGAACAAAATAGTCGTAAAATTCGATAGCCGAACCAAAGAAAAATGAAAGTAATAAACAAACCCATCATGCATGGAACTAACGAGCTAATACAATCGATAATAAAACCAGCAACAATCTGAGAAACTTTTCGACTTTCTGGTAATGTTGTTCTTGTTGTTAAACTGGTTCGATTTTCTAATAGATTTTTTCCATAGTTATAAGAATCATTGTTCATAATTTTAAAAAATATTTCAAGTCTAATAAAACCACATATAACTTCGTAAATCGTAAGAATCCCATAAAATATGGGTAATGATTTATAAAACCACCGGCACATTATTTATGTTTTTCACGTTTTTTTTTGCTGTAACATTTAAATTCTCACTGTCTTTCTCATAACAGGAACAGAAAAATGACAATTTGATTATTGT